TCCTGATCCCATTCCTGATCCCATTCCTGATCCCAGTCCTGATCCCAGTCCTGATCCCATTCCTGATCCCATTCCTGATCCCATTCCTGATCCCAGTCCTGATCCCATTCCTGATCCCATTCCTGATCCCAGCTCTGATCCCAGCTCTGATCCCAGCTCTGATCCCATTCCTGATCCCAGCTCTGATCCCATTCCTGATCCCAGCCCTGATCCCATTCCTGATCCCAGCTCTGATCCCAGCGTGGTGCTTTGGCTCTGGGAAGCAGCTGGAATTCATGGCTGGGAATTCCGGGAATGCTCCAGAACATCCAGGCTCTCCGGTGGCCCAGGGAGGGACGAGGGGGGAGCTTTTCCACTCTCCAGGATTGGGATGGGGAGCGGGATCTCTGGGATCGGGAATGTCAGGGAGCGCCGGGAGCCCCCCCGGCCCTTCCCTGGCTTCCCCCGGCTCCGGCTCCTTCCCGAGCATTCCCGGGGTGTTCATTCCCGGTGCTCGGCATTCCCAGAGTTCCCATTCCCAGTGCTCAGCATTCCCAGTGCTCAGCATTCCCAGTTCTTGGCATTCCCAGAGTTCCCATTCCCAGAGTTCCCATTCCCAGAGTTCCCATTCCCAGTGCTCGGCATTCCCAGTGCTCAGCATTCCCAGTGCTCGGCATTCCCAGTTCTTGGCATTCCCAGAGTTCCCATTCCCAGAGTTCCCATTCCCAGAGCTCGGCATTCCCAGTGCTCAGCATTCCCAGTGCTCAGCATTCCCAGTTCTTGGCATTCCCAGTTCTTGGCATTCCCAGAGTTCCTATTCCCAGTTCTCAGCATTCCCAGTGCTCAGCATTCCCAGGCTGTTCATTCCCAGCACTCAGCATTCCCAGTTCTCAGCATTCCCAGAGTTCCCATTCCCAGTTCTCAGCATTCCCAGGGTTCCCATTCCCAGCACTCAGCATTCCCAGCACTCAGCATTCCCAGTGCTCAGCATTCCCGGTTCTCGGCATTCCCAGTTCTCAGCATTCCCAGGCTGTTCATTCCCAGCACTCAGCATTCCCAGGGTTCCCATTCCCAGCACTCAGCATTCCCGGGGTTCCCATTCCCAGTGCTCAGCATTCCCAGGGTTCCCATTCCCAGCTCCCAGCATTCCCGGGGTCCCCATTCCCAGTGCTCAGCATTCCCAGGGTTCCCATTCCCAGTGCTCAGCATTCCCAGCACTCAGCATTCCCAGCACTCAGCATTCCCAGCACTCAGCATTCCCAGTGCTCAGCATTCCCAGGGTTCCCATTCCCAGCACTCAGCATTCCCGGTTCTCGGCATTCCCGGTTCTCGGCATTCCCCGGCTGCCGCAGCTGCTCCGGCTGCAGCGATTCCCTCGCCTGCCAATCCCGAATTTTTGCTTCCTCCCCCTGCTCCGAGACCTAATTCCAGCTCCCGGAATTTGCCCTTCCCCCTCCCCGGGATTCGGCACTCCCGGGATTCGGGGATCCGGATCCTCGGGATGGATCCGCTCGTTTGGGATCCGGAGGGAGCTGGGCGGGGGGGATTGGAGGAGAATCGGGGATGTGCTGGCAGAGGAGAATCCATGGATTTGCTGAGAGCGGTGGAATGTGCTGGACTCATCCCTGCCCTGCCCAGCCCCCCTGGCTGATCCCAGAAATCCCGGCTCTTCCCATGGGAATGGGGGCGGGGGGGTCGCCCTGCCCCAGCCCCCCCAAACTGCTCTCCCAGGAAAAAGTGGGATGGTGGAATCGGGGAGATTCCCCTCGGGTCTGGGGGGAATCTGGGATGGGATTGGGAAATGCAGGAGGCTCCTGGGGCTGGGAATGCTGAGCCTGCGGGGCTGGGGAGCTGGGGCTGGAATTTTGGGCTGGAATTTTGGGCTGGAATTTTGGGCTGGAATTTTGGGGTCCGGTTCTGGTCCCCCCACAGTGTGCTCAGAGAACTGGGATGTGTCACTCCAGGCCTTCCCTTGGGATTGGGTGGGATTGAATGGGATTGGGGCAGGATTGGGATGGGATTGGGGCAGGATTGGGATGGGATTGGGGCAGGATTGGGATGGGATTAGGGTAGGATGGATTGGGATGGGATTGAACAGGATTAGGGCAGGATTGGGGTGGGATTGGGACAGGATTGGATGGGATTGGGATGGGAATGAACAGGATTGGGGCAGGATTGGGGTCTCCCTGCCCCAGTTCCCGACCCATTCCCGTTCCCATCCCCGTTCCCATTCCCATTCCCGTTCCCGTTCCCATCCCCATTCCCGTTCCCATCCCCGTTCCCATTCCTGTTCCCGTTCCCATCCCCATTCCCATTCCCATCCCCGTTCCCATTCCCGTTCCCATCCCCATTCCCATTCCCATTCCCGTTCCCGTTCCCATTCCCATCCCCGTTCCCGTTCCCATTCCCATTCCCATTCCCATTCCCGTTCCCGTTCCCATCCCCATTCCCATTCCCATCCCCGTTCCC